GAGTACATAAGATTTGGTTTGACCCCATTTCCCAACTTTACCTTGGCATCAAGATGACTCCAAAGAAAACAATTCTTTTGCATTGTTAGGGGGATCTAACAATTCTATCTCAGTAGATTCATCGAAACCAACTTTCTCTTCGTATCTACAATTCCTTTTCATTTATGGCCACTCTAACTTTCAATTTTATACTGATTGATACATTCACGGACGTGTTCGCTATCTGCCTAGTCGGCTTGACTTTTAAGCTGCTCAAAGCCTTAGCAATTGGCAATATCTCATCTTCGTGACAGATTCTCCTTAAAAATTATGATATATCTCCTAGACCAAATGGAGAGTAGAATAGCTACAACGGTTGAATAGAAAATAGGTCGCAAGTATTGTCCTTATATGCCACTTTGACCAGTTGTTACCAATTCTAAAAGACAGCGCTGCTAATTGACGAAATAGACGACTGAGCCGGCAAAAAGTGTGAAAATGTAACAAATCAACAGTCCAATTGTTGAACCTTAACTGGACCACTATGCTACTGAAGATAGGACTGGTTACGCTCTTCAATGTCTTTTTGTAAACATGACCAAATGGTACAAATCGACTCTATATAGTCACGGGAGACTGCTGTTACAGTCGTCGTCGTCGTCTTAACTACCAATATCAAAAGAAGGGTGATAGCAACGTATATATGATAAGCCATTGAGATATTGGTAACGAGATGTCATGAGAATTAAAGTGGGAAAGAGGTCATTCAATGTCGAGTGGGCAGCAATGGCCTCGAATTCGTGGATCAATTTTTGTTTGTGTGTATCAAGTTGATTGTTGTCTCGACGAGCACATATTTACATGTGCATCTTCTTCTATCTTACCACCTCTTCCAGATCGACAATCCGATAAAAGTTGAGGTTACTCAAGTGCAGCCGACGGATCTTCCTCCGGCTGGATCCTCTGTGCAGTATATGGTGGAGGTAACTCTGGTCGCAAATTTCATCTACCCAAGCAGTTTGGCGGAAATAAGTTTAACGACAGCCGCGAATGATACAAATATTGAAAATGTGAGGCTGCTCTACGCTGCGTCTGGAATATCATGTTTTGTGCCGCTTTCACTCGAATTGCGTATTACTCGGCAAGTTTTGCTTCCTGACCAGTTGTTTTGGATAATAATTTGACTTATCATAGATTGGATAAAGTGATATAAAAATAGATTATTGAATTTCCCAAATGAAATGAATAGACCTCACAGACTCAATGAAGTTCCCACAGCCTTGCCTCTAAAATGATTTTTAGATTCAAGTATAACTGATAATTCCACCTTATCTCAGCTTAACTAGCAACCGTGAAGGGATTGGAAACAGTGCCATCAGCGTTAATTGACATTAAGATAGTGCTGTCACAAAATTACGGGTACCAGTCGGTCACCTGACTGGTATGACTTTCAAGGTCAGCCAAACTTCTACCTAATTTCATTTATGTTGATAATAATGTAGTTATCGAATAAGTAGACTTATAAACTATTGCTTCTTCACAAAGAAGAACTTGAGTCACTTTCAGCAATCTGAGGTCCAAGGGAACTTCAATCCTATCGTAAGGTCCAATCATTCGACTGTGGAAATTTCGACTATTCATTTATATTCTACTTAAACGACTAGTGCTGATTCCAGTACTTATCCACGCTTTTATAACACTTTAAGAATATACGCGTTTGACGTTTTTGTATAAAAAACCTACAAGGCTGTAACTGTAATTTTTCAGGAAATGAAGAGGTGTCAAGCGAGTTGAGTAGACTTTTGTGCTGTTCATTGATGCGGCCTAATTTAGTCAAGCCTCAGTCACGATGCCTGCGGTGGTGATGTTGTAATACATTTGATTTTGTTTAAAAACGAGGGTGTAAGCATTTGAAACTTGACCCCACCGAACGCCAACGAAAGATCGCATTCGACTTTGATCCATGGATTGTGCGCAACAAATATTAGTCCACCGAAATGCGATACCGATGAATCCGTGCTGAGCTTTCGTCCCTTATCTGAAAGACAGCATCAGATACAGAAACCATCAATTTTAAAAGCCCACCACAAGCGCATCGTTCAGATAAATAAAGGATGAAAACTGAGAATGGATTCATCGTCATATAATACCGCAAATTTGGATATATGACAAATTACATAAAATGGTATTTTATTTAAGTGTTGGAATTAAGGTAAGAAGACAATTTAAATGCATCCATGAAATATATTTTCAGAATCATCTCTAAAAGATGCAAATTAGATTTGTCAACATGTCTGGGCTATATAATTGAGTTTTCCTGTAAATGGCATATAAGAAATCATCTCACTTTTGTATAACTTATTCGTCTAAGGTGATGAAGAACTGGTAGTTGAATTTTCCCACAATAATATGGGTAGAGCTTACGTTTCCATTGCATTTCACATAGTCTTGCTTTCTAAAAGGTCTTTCTCCTCCAGAGTGGACTGCAAATTCGACTTAACCTAGGCCTTATCAACACCCACAGCGAGACTCGAACCATAACGGTGCAGCTTATGATCTCAAAACGTTAACCAATACGCCACACTGTCACGAGTGTCCTTGGGTCACAGCACAGATGTGCATTTTAAGGAAGGCCATGCTTTTTTTTCCATATCGCATACCTATTCATAGCAGTATAGGTAAATTCAAATACCAGTTCTTCATCACCTTAAACGAAATAGAAGGAACACATCTCACGTATATGGTTTACTGGTAGTTTCGAAAACCTACTTAAAACGAAAAATAAGTAATTTCGTCGATTGATTTGGCAACTTACATTTTGCTTTATCGAGAATCCCACATAGGATGAACATATCTCATATATCTACTTATTTCACTATGGGAATTTCTATTATCTTTCCCTACACCACTTTAGTCGACCAAATTGACCAACTTTCTTATTTTTATCCATTATTTGTCCCTACTTATGTAATTTTTATTTAGGCCGACAAGTGGTCAATCCATTGTGGACGGTTTGATAAACCACAGCTTTTCACTATGAAACCACCTGTATAGGCAAAAGAGGGTGATGAAATGTATTCAAATGTGAAGAGAAACTTGTTTTCGATGAATCTCTTGAGACAAGATTGTTAGAGGGACTTTCATTTCGAATGAAAGTGCATGAAGAAGAGATTCGTTGGTCGATCTCACCAGATAATGACGGATGAATTTCGTTGTACTGCAGCCATTTGGCTTTTATACGATACGAGGGAGGAAGTCTCGTGGACGGCGTCAACATGTACATAGTATAAAAGCCAAACGGCTACAGTACAACGAGATTCATCCGTCCTCATCTGGTGAGATTGACCAACGAATCTTTTCTTCATGCACTTTCATCCGAGTCGAATTCATCCTTTTTCGTTTTTGGGGATTAGGAGACTGGTAATAGAATTTTCTCACAATGCTATAATTCGACTTTACATTTTCATTGAATTTCACACAGTCTTGCTTTCCAAAAGGCATTATCATCCAAGATGGACTGCAGTTAGCGCGTCGAGATTACACATCACACTGTGGTGGTTCGAGTCCTGCCGGGATGCTGATGGGACCAGATCAGCCAAGGTTGAAACTGAAGTACAGCCTGGATGAGCATAACTTTTGGGAAGCGAGGCTATGCAAAATTCACTGGAAATTCAAAGTCCGCTCATAGCGTTGTGGGAAAACTCAACCATAAGTCCCCTTATCACCTTAAACGAACTAGACTGAATGCATCTCATACATAGTAGCTACTAGTAGTCTCGAAATTCTGCTTATAAATGAAAAAAGTGAGTGACGTCTCACCATCTTCTCCTTTACAGCTTGACTGCCTACCTCAATTTTGGTACTATTTGTGCCACGGGGTTAACAGATAAGGAGAACAGTTTGGCCGTGCTCTTTACTGTGGGTCTGAGCAGCAGCTCGACTACTACAATCGATGCCACCTTCGGTTTCAGCTCTGATAAATCACACGTTTCCATCACGAAGTTTAACATCAAAATAGCCTCATTGCCTCCTTCCATCTCTCCGGTAAGTCAGCCCTATAATGTTAATAGATTGGTTTTTTAGGTATCTTTGATCCGGACCGCCTGAGGGCGAAGTTCCAGACTTCAGGCTACCATGCTTTTCGGCCAATCAGACGCAATTGGAGTGTAGCCAAGAGTTGTGCAGAGGCAAGACACAAC